GTGGAATTTGACACTTTATGTAAACATAAGCCCAGGCACGGTGCAGTAACAGCAGCAGGTGATGGCAAAGAGGGTAAATTCAGAAATCCCTCATGGGGAGCAGAGCACCCGGGGCTGTGCTGGGAGTGCAGGATGAGCCCCAGCAGGGAGGAAGAGGAGAATGCCAAGGAAAGGGGATCAGGACAGCAATGCCGAGAGCTCCCTATGCAGGGCTGGGCTCCTGACTAAACAGGGCCTTGTTCTCCGAGCAGGATTTGGCTCCCTGAGCTTGACTCTACTTCCCAAGCCTGGCCTTGCTCCCTGAACTCAGCTGCCTGAGCTCGACTTTGCTTCCCGAGCCGGGCTTTGCTCCCTTAGAAGGGCTTTGCTCTCTGAACGAGACTTTCCTCCCCGAGCGGGACTTGGCTCCTTAAGCCAGGCTCTGCCCCTTAAACCAGGCTCTGCCCCTTAAACCGGGCCCTGATTCCCGCCCAGGAATTTGGCGGGAGCCGCCAGCAGCCGGCAGGGGGCGCCGCGGAGCAGAAGGGCGGGGTCCGGGGGCGGGGTCGAGTGTGCGGGGGCGGGGCCAGGGCTGAGGGCCGGGGCTGAGGGGCGGGGCCTGTCCCGGAGCCGCGCACAGCCCGCAGCTCCCGCCGCAGCCGCGCAGCGCCCGCAGCCCCAGGGCCACCGTGCCCCGACCCCGCGGCCCGGCAAGATGTGGCGACGCTGGGAACCGGGATGGGACGAGAAGAGGGAGCTGCAGGAGCTCAACTCCCGCCTGCGGGTCTTCGTGACCCGCGTGCGGGAGCTGGAGGAGGAGAACCGCTTTCTGGCGCGGGAGCTGGCGGAGCTGCGGGAGCAGGAGCTGATCGGGCTCCAGGTGCCCGAGCAGGAGCTGGCCTGGCTGCGGATGCAGCTGGAGGAGCTGAGCCGGGCGAAGCTGGAAGCGGAGCTGGAGCGGGACGGGCTGCGGCGGGAGCTGGAGGAGCTGCGGGCGCTGGGCGCGGAGGTGCTGGGGATGCGGCGGCGCCTGGAGCCCGAGCTGGCCGGGCAGCAGGCGCTGCTGGAGCGGCTGCGGGGCGAGTGCGTGGCCCTGGAGGAGCTGCTGCTGGAGCTGCAGGCCGAGCACGGGCACATGGCAGAGCGGCAGCGGCGGGAGGCGGTGGAGATGCGGGAGCTGCGTCTGAACCTGGCCGCCCTGCCGCCTCCCTTGGCCGGGCTGAGCCTGGAGGAGCTGGAGGAGACCTACGAGATGCTGCTCAACCAGAGCTGCCGGGAGACCCTGCTGCGCTACCAGGAGCAGATCCAGGTGCTGCAGGAGCAGGAGGCGCAGCGCAACCGGGAGAACCTGGAGCTGCTGCGGGAGGAGAGCCGGCAGTGCCGGCAGCACCTGGAGGATCTGCACCGCCAGGGCCAGGAGCTGGTCGCGCTGCGGGAGCGGCTGGAGCAGGAGATGCTGGCCCTGCAGGACCGCCACGGCGCCGAGCTGGAGGAGTACCAGGTGGGTGGCACATGGGCCCCGCTCCCGGGACTCTCCCGCTTCACCTGGCGCTCCTGGCCCTCGCGTTTTCCCTTCAGTTCTGATCCATGGCGCGATGTGAGCCCGACTTTCCCGTCCCTCCTCCTCGCTCTGCTCCGGGAGCTGCTAAAGCCGCTCTCACTCGGTGTGGTCCAGGCTTTACCATCCCGCTTTCCCTCCTGGCAGTGGGATTTCCCTAGGCTGGAGCAGGAGGTGGCCCAGAAGGAGCCTTTTGCTGCTGAGCCCTTCTCTGTGTGGGGCGGGGAGTCCCTCAGAGCCCTGGGGGTTTGGGGAGCGAAGGGTGTGACTCAGAAAGGGGACAGTGACCCTGAGGACATCATCCCGGTGACAGGTGCTGCCTTCCCAACCTGCCCTCGGCAGGTGGCCAAGAGCATGGAGCGGGCACACGGCCTTGCCAGGCTCCTGGCAGGCTTGGCAGGAGCGCTTGGGACACGGAGCAATCCCTGGGAGCAAACGAACCGTGGGACACGGCCCTGAGGCTTCAGGGTGGCCTGTCCCCATCACAGAAATAATCAGGAATTTCTTCCTGATTTACGCCTATTCCAGTGTGCCTTGAGCCTCGGGAAAAGCTTGTGGTCCCCAGCGTAGTTAAGAAAACTTTGTGTAAAGGCGAGAAGATGTTGGAGGTGGATGTTGGAGGTGTCAAACAGGGGCTAGAGCATGTGCAGCTGGGGGTTTGTTTGTGTCAGGGTGATGTTCCGTGTAATGTGTGATCCCCCGTGTGTGGGAGGGGATCAGCTCCTGCCGGAACAGCGGAGTATCCGCTCATCCAGCTCGGAGTGGAGAGCACATATTAGATCATGCAGCCCATCCATCCATTTCCTGAGGGCAACAATTCTTTTGTTCGTTGTTAGACCCTTTATTAACACCCTGCTGGAGCTCGGTGTGTGCCCGAACCCCGTGTTTGCCCAGCTTTGTGCAGATTATGGCGATGTTGGCAGCTGGGAAGGGACTGGGACCTGTGGCTGTGTGCGTGTCTGGTTTTTGTACTCTGCTGGGTTGTTTGGAAGCTGCATAGTTTGCAGATGCTGTGAACTGAGACAGATTAGGTATGTAAGAAGTAATTGGAAAGGCTCTTAACTTTTAAATAATTATTTTTTTTTGGTTTTGACAGGACAATTCATTCTGAAGTCACATATGTAAACATTCCCAAACCTGTAGAAGATGACATATGTAAATCCCTCATTAATTAAATCTATCCAACAGGCAAAACCTACTGAAAATGTAAAGAAGAAATAAACCTCTTCATTTTTTCCATTTTATATTTAAAGTTTCTTAGATTTCCAAAACATGACCTTCTTTCTGTCTGTATTTTTATTAGGGGTTTATAAGGAGAGTAATTATTGCTCAAACTGAAGGCCTCTAAATACAGAGTAAAGAGAGCGTTTTGTATAGCTTGCTGTCCCATGCCACAAGTTTTTCTTCTACAGTCAGTGAGAATGGCTTCTATTTAACTTTTTCAGCTCAGGGAGGTGTTTTTAAACCAGTTATCTCTGTATCTGGTTGTATTTTTAAAGAATTTGCTTTGAAAGGGCAACTGGAGAAACCCGTTGTAGATGACAGCAATCTATTGCAGAAGTCAAATAATCCAAATCAATGGCTGCTCTTGAATGGTCCTGATGCAATGCTCCAAAATGGATTGTTATTTTGACACCAAAATTGCAGACTTCTCTGGTACTCGCATGAATGTTTGGCATCTTTAGATTTTACAGGAAAAATAGTTTCAAATCTTAGTAATACAAGGAGAAAAAAGTGTGTTGAAAATATCTGACCATTTTCACCAGAAATGGAATATTATCTAGATATATATTCAAATATGTCATAAGGTTTTTAATTAATTCAGATTAATTCTGAAGGATGTTGTGTTTGGGTTTAGTGAGAAAGGCCTTTTTGCAGTTGCCAGTCTCCTGTACATGAGAAATAAAATCTTTTCCTCACATCCAGGAAGAAAAATTATGGAATGCGTAGAAGCAGCTGTTTCAGGTTCCATTCTTGGGATCAAAACTTTTTTTTTCTCTCTCATTTCTCTTACTGGTTGAAGTATGTTCAGCATGGGTTTTAAACTGCTCTTTAAAAAGCATCAATTCCACGCTTATTTATTGTAGAGTGTCATGTAGAAATGATATGTATGTACAGATTAAAGTCAAGTTATTATTGTTCATTGCAGCTGCAATGGCAATTAGATTTATTCATATTTTCCATATATCATCCAGTTGCCTTATATGTTCATCTTTGCCTCCTGAACTGCCCTTATCCTCGCTGAAGCTTTCAGCAGTGTTAAATAGAAAAAAGTATTTGGAGTTATAATGCAGCTGAACCAGGCAGGCAGTAAATCATACACTGGAAAATTTTCACTGGTCCTGAGTGCTAAAGGGATGAACTCAGTAGATCTCTTACTTCCATAATTTTAGCTGTGTGCCATGAGAATAGTGATGCAAAAACTCCTGGTGGTTTGAAAACCCTGAATTATTTGTATGTAAAACCATCCATGGCCCATCCTGCTGCTCTGAAATGAGGCAGATATTTTTAACTGATAAGAGTGGATTTAGGATCAGTTCCTGTGTCAGTGCTGTGAGCTCGAGAGAAGGAGAAAACATCTTGTCAAATGCACATTTAATGTTGATATGTCGTGTGCCTTTCTCTGTGTAGCAGTTTCAAGCCAGGCAAGTGCAGGGTGAGTTCCTCCCCTGCTGAGCCATGAATGAGCTATGGGATCAGTAAATAGTTCCAGATGGAAAGGGCTGGGGCCTGGAATCCTCTATTCCCTCAGTAGGTACAGCTTGGACAACCCAAGGAAATTCTTTCCCCCCTGCTGCCCTTCTAAAATTTCCCAGTGCTGCCTGGAAAGGAGCACATGAAGGGTGAGAAAACAGTTTCTATTCCTTAGTCCTAGCAGGACATCACAGGGATTTGGGGGCTGTGATTGATGTGGCTGGGAAGCAGATCTTTCCAAGAGAGTCCTGTGTGAAGAAAACACCAGATCTGCCAAGCAGAGGTTACCTTTTGCAAAATGGGTTTGTTGGCTCACAATCTGCTGGACTTTGATGGGTTGGTTTCTGTGCTTTTTGGTGTGCTTGGAGACAGAACTTGAGGCCAGTTGTCTTCTGCTTTATGTTTGAGCATCAGTGATGGAGGGCTGGGTGTCTGCCACCCAGTCTATAGAGTGTCTGCTCCCACTGGAATGAATTCCTTTGGAACTACTGCACAGCTGGCTGGGCTCTGTGCCCCCTTATGGTAATCATGAACTCCAGCTCTTGGATCCCCAGTGCTCTCCAGCCCCATGGGCAGAATCCAGGGTGAGGGACTGAAGCTCCTGTGTTGTTGGATGGGTTTGAACAGCCCCTGTCTTTCAGAGCTCCCCATACTCTGTAGTCCTGTGTAGAAATTTCCTGTATGGATTTTTCTGGGACAGCATTTTAAAGCTCTGCACACGTATAGGTTATTCTGAGTTTAACTGTGGAGGCAAGAAACATCTGCATCATTTAACTTTTGTATCAGAGCTCTTAGGGATTGGTTTTCTTCTGCACTTCTGCTGACTCTTGGTTCAGTTGCACCCTGGCCATTCCTGCTGGATAGCCTTTTCCATTTAAAAACAGTACTTGTACTTTTCTTGCCTTCTCACCTCGGGATTTTCCATTGTGTCTGTGCTGTCCTTGACCAGGATTGTTCCCTCAGAGCTGCTGAAGCTCTTCCTGGCCATGGGATGGTGCCTCCACTGGGGTCTGCAGGAGGCTGAGGGCTCAAAGTTGAGGGCTTTGTGGTGCTCTTTCAGATATGCAGATATGATTTGTCTTCTGCCATAAAAGGGGAATTTTAAGTACACTGAAGACTGTAGGCAAGGATTGTCATGTCAGGGGAAACATCAGTGTAATCATTTAGCAAGAGCTGCAAAGGCAAATGAAGAAAGAAATTCATGTGTTATATAGAGAACTGTACCCACGTGTATAGGCAAATAGAGGCAGCTTCCTGCATAGAACTTTCTTTTTAGTTTTACTTAAAAAACCCCAAAACTATTAATGTTTGACATGCCAGCACTTTATATTCTTAGTTCTTACTTCTGCCTAGCACATCATGCTGGCATTAACAGCAGAGTCCCCTGCTGTATCTTCATTTTTATGCTATTGCACATACTGTGATACTGGAGTACTTGCTGCCTATCAGTGATATATTTTGAATTTTTTAAAACTAAACCATCAGTGCCTTGATTTTCCAGTTTGATTGCAAAGCAGTTTTCAGCATGAAATCTAAAATACACTGTTGTGAATTCCTGTTCAGTGTTGTACATGTGTATGAGGTTTTGCTCTGTAAATGACATTTCAGAGTTCCTGCATTATGCAGAGTGACGTGAACAAAACAGAATTGGGCCTTTGTTGATATTTAATTTCTGTCTTCCCAGCCCCCAGAACAAAGTGCAATCTATAGCATTAGTTAGCAAGGTTAGATTTGGTATTTATATATATATATATATATATATATATATATATATATATATATATATGGCAATTCACCCTTCATGTGAGAGGCAACGCCAGTGATTAAAGCACTTTCTACTCTTTTCTTCCTTCTGCCATTTAATGTTAATACAAGTAACCTTTTCTATTTATTTGTGCTGCATAAGGTCATATATAGCCATTGAGATGAAAATGAGCAGTCTTTTATCCATCTTCTGAGCAGCAGTTAGGACAGAGCTGGGTGGGCCTCAAAGCAGGTGTCAAAATACTGCAGCAAACTTGAAGGAATCAAAGGAGATTCATCTTTTACCTTGTGGGCACTGTGAGTGTCTTCAGATGCTCAAATTCCAAAACTGGTTTGAACCCACACATCTGTGGAACGGAAAATAGTGATTAGCTTCTCATGGCAAAGCAATTCCTGAAATTTCTGATCTCAAGTGTGATTTAAGTGTGTCTTAAAATGACCAAATGAGTCACATATAAATCTTATGAAGAAGTGTATTTTCCTTGCAATGTGTGCTTATGAACTTTTGCACAGGGCATCTGAATGGGTTTGACTGAAATAATTTAACCAGCTTTGTAAGGAATAAAATGAATTTAGCATAAAACTTGCTTCAGGAACAATTTATTTCAGCTTGTATATGAGGAGGTCATGGAGCTGATTTCTTCTGGTTTTTGAAGTGATAGAGCACTGATGTATTTTTGTATCTTTTTTTTTAATTAAAATTTTTATGTTTTAAGGCATTGAAGTGTTGTTTTTATGTTCTTTCAAAACTAAAAATATTTTTTTTATGTTCAGAGAATAATTGATGCCCTGGAAGAAGAAAAGCAGTTCCTGACCATGTCAATCACAGATTACCTGAGGGACTACCAAGAACTCCTGCAGGTGAAAGCAGGCCTCATCCTTGAAATTGAAACCTACAGGTAAGATTTGTGGTCACACTATTGTCTAGACAGAGGATAATTTTAATCCCTTTTTATAGATATGGGAGCCCCATTCATCTTCTTTCCAGCATTTAAAATTTAAACAGTGACTTTGGGAGTCTCAAGGCTCTAAAGCCAATATAATTAATAGGAATCCTATTAACTTGGTACAAATATCGTGGCATGTAAGAAACCTTCTTAGTCCTGGTCGAGTGGATATTAGATTGATGGGGATTTTTGGGGCAATATTTGGTTACAAGCTGAGGAGACAATATCCCTAAATTGCAATCAATAAAACTTGAGGTTATGTAGTTGCCATCAACTTACATGGCACATTTCATTGTTTAAATATGTTGATTAGTGACCACCTGCAGCTCTGATGTAAGCAGTGAGTTCCCCATCCTTGGTGCAGTTGTAGGATAGTGGGAAGATAACACAAAAGTCTGTTTGATTAAGTCCTGGCTTTCTCCATCCTTGATTTGTCATGAAAACACATTTAGATCAAGTGTGAGATAAGAGCAAACCACATCTCTGCTAATGAATCTTCAGGACTGTACCTCTCTCTACCAACTGAGTAGTTGTGGGGTTGAAAATCCAAGAATCATGATGTACGTGGCACAAAACTGATTTGGAATGAAAAAAATCGTAAATAATCCAAAACTGATGAACTGGAGGAAGACCCTTCCTTCTTGTAAAGATGATGTGTTTTTTCTACAAATAGCACAATATTTTCAACAAATTTCATTGAGATACTGATCCTCAAATACAGAGAGATGTGCAATTATTATTGAGGAAAGGGATTATTTGTGAAAATTTAGTGTCAGGCTATTTCTGTATTTTTTTGAGGAGACTGCCTCTGACATTAGATTGTCTAGACTGGGTGCATTATTAATATTCAACCTGTGTAAATAGATGGGGTATTTCCAGTTAAATATAGTATATGCTTCTGTGCATATATTATATTTAATAAATAAAGCCTTAATGCTGTGTCCTGAGTGTGAACCAGTAAGTCTGGATAAAGATAGCACCACCTGAGTTATGGGTGAGGACTATCAATCCACTGATGCATTTGAAATTTAATTTCAGTTGCATAACTGAAAATATGGGAAACTTGAAATAACTTCTGAGTAGCTTGATAAGGAGTAGTGAGCAGAGAATGTCTTCATGAAGGAGCACCAACAGCCTGTTCAAGATGCCTTGTCTGCAAGGAGGCACAGACCAAGGCTGGTTTCTGGAGGAGATAAAATCACAGACAGTGGGGGACAAGTGATCTGCAGTCACTTGATAAGCAACAGTGTGTTTCTTCATGTTTGTTGGAGTGGGATCCCTGTGATCCTTGGGAAGCCAGCAGTGTCTGGAGCATTACTGTGGAAGTGGTAGCCAGTTGTGATCCTTTTCTGTGTGTGTTAATTCTGTTAACTTTGCTAAAAAACATGATTCTTCTGAATTTAATCCCAGCTCTGTTGTTGACTTTCACTGCTGTTGTTAAACTTTCTCCCTTGGTTTATTCATCTGCAAAACAGGATTGGCACTGTCACAATAACAGAATTATCAGAGTTGTTTTGATGATTAGTATTCATCCAGAACTAGGAATGATAATTCCCAGGTATTCAGTTGTTTGAAAACCTTGTAAGCCCATGAAATTCTGGAATTTCTCCACAGTTGTATCACTGATTATCTGAGCATTATTGGTTTGTCCAAGGATTCCCTGTCCTGGTTAATGAAAGTAGAACAATTCAGCATCACCTGCAGTGTGTTTGTTGTCCAGTTCAGAAGCTCCTTAATCCATAGGATTTCTTCATCTGATGGATGTGAATGCAGCTTGGGTCACTGATGGCCTTGGCAAGGCAGATGTCAGTGGAAAAATGAGCATCTGCCCACTGAAGATGAGATAAGAATAAGAGAATGGGCCTTGCTACAGATAAAAAACTTCCAAATGCCAGTAAACAAACTTCATTTAAAATATCAGAAGCTGAAAAGCTATTGTTTTGTGGTTTTACCTATTCCTATGCAGTTTTACCTATTCCCCTTCTCTTCTTTTTCTCCCTTTATTCAACAAAATAGTTCCTTTCTTCTTGTGTGTCTCTGTCAACCCTGTGTGGGAGGGGACCCAGTCCATAAAGTCAAGTAGGAGAATTCTGGACAGCTCACTCATGTGCTTTTTCAAATCCTGTTCCTCTCCCAGGTCTTTTTACCTGTGGAGAAAAGGGCTTGTGAGCACAGCTTCAGTTGGTTTTCACAGAGGATGCTGGCAGATACCCTGGCTTATGCATACTGGAAACAAAAGGCACCTATTCCCATTCAGTCCAGCATCCTGAACTTTCCATGGAGAGCTTCCCACCAAGGCCCTGGCATTTCCTTTCCTCCTGGCCCTATAGGTTAAGGGTGTGGTAGCTGGAGCCTTCTTTCTATCTCCCACCCCGTGTTTTGTCTTTGTTTCACAACTCCTGCAGTTCTGTTACAAGGTCAGTTCTTTCCATTAGTCACCATTGCTCCTGGAGTGGGAAGAAGGATCACTGCTGCAAGGAACACCCTTCCTTAAGGTCCAAGTGTATTTCCTCTCTGACTCTGCTCACCCTTCCTGCTCTGGGAGCCAAGATTCACTCAGAAACACAAATATGTGGCCTTGTGGAGTTACACCTCATGGGAATATTCATTCCTAAGCCCTTTTCTCGCTGTTGAAGTAAATATTTATCAAGTGTCTCACAGTTTTGTTCTGTGTCCTTGGAACCCTTCAAAACCACAGCTACTTAACTATGCTTAGGTTTTATTTCCAGAGAGAAGTGGTGAATTAGTCACCCTGTAAAAATCTTGATTTTAAAAAGAGATAGAAAACCTGCCTAGAATCTGAATTACTCTCAGGCCTTTCTCCTTAGCTAGCAGAAACTTCTCTTCACATAGCAGAGGCTGCCCAGAGCCTGTACCAATAGGTTCAGGAGCTTTTCTGTCCTCTCTAAAATATGTTGTTGAAGGGTAAAATATTTCACTTTGAAATTCCAGTGTCATACAAGTATTCTGTTCAGGTTACCACCCTGCATTCTGAAGCACCAAAGGCTACACAACTTTATTTCCCTGGTCATTGTTAGGATCTCTGAACACACTTGCCAGGTGAACTTTGACTTGTGCTCCTCCATCAACACCACTGACCCTTTCTATGCCTTCCTCTCACAGAATTATCACCAGCATTAAAGCTCCTCTGATCCACTCACCACAGCTTTTTCAGTCAATCTCATTACTTCCCCTTTATAACTTGTACCATCCAATAGGTTCCACTCCTGTATGGGTTTTATTTTGAGAACACGCTGAGTGTTCAACACCTGGGGAATTTAACATGCAGTTACCTGCTGTTCTTCACACTCCTCATCCTCCCGTCCTGGGAGGATGGAAAAAGGATGTGGAATGGCCTTGACCCCCCTTCCTGGAGAGGTGGGATTTTTTGTAACTCCTTAGCAAATACCCAGGATAGAGAGGATGAGTTTTTATGGCTTGCTGGCCAACTGCCCCATCTGAGATGTTGTAGTGTTGTTTTTTTTGTTTTTGCAGTTGCAATGAAGTCATTACTGTCCTGAATGCCCATAATAAAATTTGCACTACATCCTTTTGTTCTCTCTCCCCACCCCAACCACCTTATCTCCTCCTCCTGCCCTCATGGACTGGTTGTTTCTGTTGTCATCCAGCACAGGCTGACGAGCATGTCCCTGCTAACTTTAGATAAATGACATTAATAATGAGATGAGCTAACGGTGCAGTTGGATTATTTTCTGGTAACACTTAAATTAAGTGTTAACAAAATAGGAGTATATGTCATTTGGGACCTGATTTCCAGGAAGTAGCTGACATGGTTATTTTTTTTAGAAGAGTGCTGCTTGGAGAAATGTTTTTTTTACTATTACTATGAGTGCTTTGAAGTTCATACAGTTGAAATTAATTCTTTGGGCAGTTTAAGTTTAAAAGCAGACTTTACTACCAAGAGGCTATTATTAGGAAAGGATGCAGAGGAATAGAGAAGCAAAATGACTTGCATAAACTCAAGCTATGGTCACGCTGAGCAGCACAAGCACAAGCTGAGTTTGCTGGCTCAGTACAGTACCCTGCCCTTTCTCGTGCCAGTTTAGTAAGCCAAGCTCTGTTTAACATTTTCTTGGGTTTCTGATAAGTGTGAGGTCATACATATTATAAAGTGCCCAGTGAAATTCTGATTCTCTGTCCAGTTTTACAGAGGTTTCAGGAAGCTTTGCCTTTCACTTTCAGTAGTAACACTTCAGATCCAGCTTTTCTGTGGGCTGCTGCCCTTTGCCATATACAGTTACCTCCTGGAACTTATTTTTAGTGACTTCATACGTTGCTGCAGCAACTGAACAACTGTTGTTTTAACAGCAGCCAGAAATCCTTGGTCAAACTCCCCACATTCCTGCTTTCCTTCGTCATGGTTAACACTTTCACTGCCAGCTCCTGGATGTGTTTCTGCAGCGTCACCACCAGCTTCTCTGGCAGGTCTCTCAGAGAAATTTGTTTGGCACTCACTGGCTCCATCAGATCAGATGTTTGGTCTTGGGAGCATTACATGTGTTGAAGGGATCTAATTCCTCTGAAGCTTCTCTCAGCTTGGAGAAAGATAAATTGCTTTTACTGTGGATTTTTTCAACTCACAAAATAGAAGGAAAGATGCCCCTCTGAGCCTGTTTTAGGTAGTCCTAACCCAGCTTTTCTTCTGGATCTAGACAAATCCATCAAGGCAAAGAAAACCTTGCTAATGATATTTTGCTAGTGCCAAAGTGATCAGTCATGGGAAGTGTGAAATATACAGGTGATGCTTAGAACACCTTTGTTAGTTTTGACATAAATGTCCAGCAGAGGTGTTTGTACCCCGATCCTAACTGGCTTTCAGCTCCTGCCCCGGGGAGTCAGAGCCTCGGCTATCACAGTCCTCCAGCCTTACTCTTGCCAGCTTTGATGTTGCAGCTGTGTCTTATCAGTGCAGAACATCTGGCATTCCCAAACCCAGAAATGCTGTCACTGGCTGGTAGGAGCAGCACAAACCCACCAAGTCACTGTGCTGCCTGCAGCATTGCCTTGCCCAGGGAATGACCTGATGTAGCATTTCCAGGCTGCTGCCCTGGCACTTCCTGGAAGTGTGGGAGCTGTGTCACTGCCAAAAGGGACAGGGACAGACAGAGATGGCATTAAAGGAAACCAAGCAGCTTCTGACACAGAGAATTTCCCTACTCCTTTTTTTGTGAAATGTGTTGTGCTGATTTCCAATGGAATAGGGACTAGGAATAATTAATTTAACACTGTAAATTGTTTCCTCCAGCACTGTGTTTGATAGCAGAGGTTATACTTTCCTTCATTTTTCATTTCAAAATGATAGAACTTGCAAATCCTCCTGTAACAGTTCCCTCATGTCACACTTCAAGACCACCTTTACTACTCTTTTACAAACAGGAAGGTTGCTGTCTTTTTTTTTTTTTTCATTTTTGCATTTTCTTTGTAAAACATCTTGCCCAGAGAAGCTGTGGCTGCCCCATCCCTGGAAGTGTTCCAGGCCAGGTTGGATGGGACTTGTTGCCACATTCCACTATCCCAGGTTTCTCCTACAGGATAATTTTTTCAATTTCTAAGACTTCTAAATGTAAAATATTATGCTTATTGTTCCCAGTATTTTAATTAAATGCCCTTTGTGTTTTACAGAGCTTTGTTAGAAGGGGAGAGCAAGCCATGGATTATATGGAGAGAAGAGTATGCAGGGAAACTGCCTCAAGGTAAAATATGAATATTTTAAAATTAATTTTGATTTAAATTAAATACAACTAGAAATTATTATGTTATACGGTTCCTGATGTATATTTTTATGGGTGTATTGCAAAGTGAATATTGAATTTGTTTTGAGTGTTAATATTTTAAATCAACATATTGCTCTTCTATGTGAGATACCTTATAAAATCATGGCTTGAGTGGAGGATGTAGGGAGTGATATTTTGTAGCTCTAAAGGACTTTTGGGTGCCCATAGGTCTTAAGAGAGTTCTGAAGTATAAAGCAAGAGGTGTTTAACAGCACATGTAGTTAAAAATATGGAGTTCATCATCCTGAGGCATTGTGAGTGTTAAAAAGTTCACATGGGTTTAAAGAGATATCTTAGCAGAGTAAGGAAAGACAAATCAAAGACTTACTAAACATAAAGATGCCATTTCTATCTTAGGAGCTGCAAATCTCTGGAGGCTGTGAGAGTGTACAAGGGAAGTATCACTGTTTATTTGCCCTGTTCTTATACTCTTCCCTGTGTATCTACTCTTGGTGCCTGCAAACAGGATTTTGGATAAGATGGACCTTTACTGTGACTGCTGTGGCCATTGCAATTAGTAACAGAATTAATCTGGATAATACTCATGAGTTTAACAATGTAGGGTCATTACTGTAGTCCCAGAAGACATTTGAAGGCTGTGTGTGTAGCAGGAAATGCAAGAGGCTCAGGCTGAAATGCTCACAGAGATCTGCCTGTGCTGTTAAATTGCGAGCTCTGTGCCTGCATCTGGGCAGCACAGTTTGGATCTGGACTAGCCAGTACTTCTGCAGACAATGCTCAGCATATTCACAGAATAGGGAAGGAATTACAGAAATAATACAGGAGACAGTGCCAAAAGTCAGAGGAGATGTGGTAGCTTTTTAGGAGTGAGAGATGTGAGTGGTGCAGTACTGGTTGGTCTTAACTGTCAGATATTCCTGGCACATTGTATTAATTTCTATAGGTAGAGCCTAAAAGGTTCTTTGTTTCTCTCCCTTGTTGTGCTTTACTGTGTAGCTATGAAGGGTTGTGTTTGTGTTTGCAGCTTCTAGTATGTGTTGGCAGTGTGCCATTAAATGTCAATAGGAACTAAGAAACTTCAGTAATGAAGCAAAAAACCCAGCCTGTGATATTAACATACATTATTTAATAAGAAGTTGTAAATGAACATCAGTATAAATACAAAAAGTGTAATTCCTCAACAAATGCCACAATACCCAGTAGTGCACAACAGGTAAAATTAGCAAGATCTTGCAACTTGAGAAAAAGCTTTGCTTTCAGCTTTAATGTAATTTATGCACAGACTTAATTAACAAGCAAAACCTACAGGAATGCCTTTACAAAGCTCCACTGAAAATGAAGACATTATTTATTTCATAAAAATAGTGCATGTTTTCATAGTTCATGCCCTCCATTTGATGATATTTTAAATACAAACCATTATTTTAATGCTTGGTCACCTGTGTTCTCTTTGCAGATATTATAAACACTTTGTATAACTACACTGATATTTACTCTACTTATCAAGAAAGTAATAGAAGTAAAGCTTCACCAGCTCCCAGGATCACTGACACGAGGCACAGAATGCCAGTGACAAATATGAGCAGCTCTGCACATTACTCAGCCCACTCCACGCACGCTGGATCACACACAACAACGGGGGGAAGAACTTTTGGAAGGGACCTGCTTGGTTCAACATATCGCCCTTCAACCACTGTCACAAAGGATGAAAGGATTGTAACAGACCACAAAGAACTAAGAACATTTACTCCAGACTACAGTAGCTGGAGAAGCACTGAAATGCAGCAAAAGAGGATTCCAGAAAGGAAGAAAACAGAAGTTACAACTTCATCCACAGTATCTTTTTCAAAAGAGTCAACACATGCTGAAAGATCAGACAAGGACCACAAGCCTGATGCTGAAAGAAGTAAACCAGGCTTCACTAGATTTCCAGCTTATGAGCTGATTACCAATGCAAAACCATCTAAATATGAAGAAACTATAATTGAAACTCGGACCACGCTAAAAGACAAAAGAGGAGGCAGCAAACCAACTGATGAGAAGACATCTCTGCTGAAAGAAAAAGATAAGCTGGAGAAACAAACAAAGGATGAGAAAAAGAAAACTGATGAGAAATCTTTTATAGAAGAAAATGTTGATTTTGGGAGGAAGACCGAGCAGAAAAAATATATCCATGAGGAAGTTAGCCAGAAGGTAACAGGGAGTGATATTTCTGCTGCAAGAACTTTGAAAAGTGAATCAAGCAAAAAAGATGCAACTGTGACCTTGGAATCAAGAAGCAAAGACGTCATTGAGATACCAATCAGCATTGAAAGGCCTGTTCCTGACAAAGGGCCTCAGAGAAATAAAGAAATAAGGGTACAAGGTGTTAAAACTTCCATAGGAAGAGAAACAGATGAACAGGTAACTCAGTCTGCTGAAACTCGCCAAGTGAGGATTTCAGAAGCAGAGTCCAGTGTGGAAGATCAAGAGCAAATTAGGGATGGGAACCATAGAATGGGAGCTCTGCCAACCGAAAGCATAGCAGAGAATATTGTTGCTGACATTCTTAAAAGTTTCACACAGTCTTCTAGTTCACAGATGTCAACAGACACCAAAGTGACCTATTTTGATAAGAAAGAACAAGAAGATGAAGGGAAAATCAAGACTGAGTTCACAGTGCAGTCTCAAGTTCAAGAAGACATAGCTATTTCTGATGAAGGTGACTTAGGACAGCTATCAAACCAGGATGTTAGAAAAGTGATTCGAGAGGGCGTTGAGGGGACTCCTTCCAAAGAGGAGATAGAAGATATTGTCCATCACGGCCTGAAAGGAAGCGAGAGCGGAAAGAATGTGTCTGTGAATGTGGAGATTGTAGAGGAGCCACTGGATTACACCACCGATGAAAGGACTGATTTTTCAACACCTTTCCAAGTAGAAGAAGTGGAGGATTCATTCCCTGAGAGGGAGAGGCGTTATGGTGAGGAGGAACAAAACGTCACCTTCACGTATGAAGATGTCAAAAAGAAGAAACCGCGCCATGAGAGCTTCACTCATGTGGAAGAAGTAACCGAGGAAGATGACTCACCTATTGAACAGAAATATTTTGTATCTGTTCCTGATGAGCATCCTATTATTAATGAAAAAGATGATGACTCAGTCTATGGGCAAATTCATATTGAAGAAGAATCAACTATTAAATATTCTTGGCAAGATGAATTTTTGCAAGGCACACAAAGTAAGAGAGAGGAAGGTGCAAGGTCTCCAGAAGAAACCTACAAAGTGGTGGGGGAGGAAGCGAGTGCCCATATTTTAAAAGAGCATCCTGAAGGTGAAAGATCCCATGTTGAATCCATTGTTATTGAAAAAGAAATTAAAATTCCCCATGAATTTCAGACTTCAATAAAAGGGCTTTTATCCAAGGAAACAAAGGACCCTAAACATCAATTGAAGGAAGCTTTGGAGCAGTTGGAGGACAGTCTCCCAGAAAGTGTGAAAGAGGAGCTCTCTGCGTTAACAA